GTATGAATATCTCGAGGAACTTGATGAAATGAATTGGTCAGCCCGAGGTAATGTATTGAATCAATATTTCAGCAACACTTCAATTGGAACGACAGTAACAAGAATGTTACAAGACTGTATCGGACTTGTTGGAACAGCCTTGTAACAAGCCTGATAATATCAACAAGGTTGTTACAAATTGTTAACAGCTTGTTTGGCAACTTGTGACAAGCAGTGCGAAGACAACTTCTTGATGGCTTGTTGACAAACTTGTTACAAGATGTGAGATTTTTGCGTGTGTACTGCGATATACACACGTAAAAACGCACAAGTTTGTTACAAGTCTGTTCACAAGCTGTTACAAGCTGTAACAAGTCTGTTCACAAGATGTATTCGCACTGCTTGTCACAAGTTGTCAACAGGTTCGGAACAACTTGTTGACAACTTGTAACAACCTTGTCGAAATTATCAGACTTGTTGCAAGGTTGTTCTGACAAGTCTGTGACATGCTTGATATAACAAGATTGTTACAACCTTGTAACATCCTTGTTATATCATGGCTGTAACAAACTTGTTAGCACAATCTTGTAACAAGGCTGATAATGCCATCAAGCTTGTTACAAGTTGTTAACAGCTTGTTTCAAACTTGTTACAACAAACTGGGAACAAGCAGTGCGAGCACAACTTGTTGACAGCTTGTGAACAGACGTGTAACAACTTGTTTGCAGACGTTTTACAACTTGTGCGTTTTTACGTGTGTACGCACGTAAAAATCTCACAACTTGTCAACAAGATGTGTTCGCAACATGCTTGTACCAAGTTTGTCAACAAGTTGTAACAATGTTGCTATTTCATCAATTTGCTATGTACAAGGTTGTCACTCACAACTTGTTGACAAATTGTTGAACTGCAGGACGATAACAAGTTGTTGGAATAACTTGTAACAAGTCTGTTGAGCTCAACAAGCTGGGAACAAGCAGTGCGAACATGTCCTGTTGGCAAGTTTTTGGAACAGCATTGCCACAAGTCTGCTGCAGGTTTGTTACAACTTGTGTGTTTTTACGTGTGTGCCTGATTCTAAATCTTTGCTAAATAAACTACACAAACAAAATCCTCTATCAGGAAAAAGAACTACAAGATACGAAAGCGAGTGGTAATGTCGGTGAATGGAAAACAGGACTTGAAAAGTCTCAGAAGGAAAAACGACAAATAGAAACAGAATTAACTCGGCTTCGAGAAGAACAACAGGCGATGCATCTGAATTCGACCACCCAAGCTAAACTAGACATGTCACGAAAGCAAAAAGAAGCAAAAGAAGACGCCATTCAGAAAGTGTAAGGAATAAGGATTTTCTTTGGGGGAGTGTGTGGGCCATGGGTGTTGTGTGTGTGGAAGGGGGATTGTTGATGGTTGCGATGCGTCTTTATCATTGCCTATCATAGCCTTGCGTCTTTATCATTTTCAAAAGCTGTTTTTCCCTCTTGTTTCTAGTATGGACAGGCATGACGAAGAGCTACGGTCTCTTTTTGGGTCAAGTGGGCCAACAGATACCATAAGGTCTAGAGTTTCAGGTTTTGTTAAAGAAAAACGATCTGAACTCAAAGGTGCAAATATCAATATTCAGAAACTAAAGCAACAACAATCTTCAAAACAAGCAGAGCAAAGAATGACCCTGTAAGTTTTAAACTGACTTCATTTATAGCAGATCTCTCTATCAGTTCTAAATTGTTCTCCCTAGAGGTCCAGTCATCTCTTATTGATCCAGTGTTACTACAGGAGGAAACCTAAACTGAACTAACTTTATTTATACTGGATAGCTCTATCAGGTGTAAACTGTTTTTCCTAGAGGTCCAGTAAGGATCATCTCTTATTGATCCAGTGTTACTACAGGAGAAAACCGAAACTAAACTAACTGTATTTATACTGGATAGCTCTATCAGTGATCAGACCTAGACTGTTCTCTCTAGACTCACATAAGGTCCCTCTTCAGTTCTGATATTTTATTGCAGAGATTAAATTGAAAATTTAGAAAAAGAGATGGCAAGATACGAGAGTAAACTACAGGAAACTTGTGGGGATGAAGAATACGACACTTTAAAGGAAAATCTCTACAATGGCATAGAACAAGCTAAAAGGTTTGTGTCGAGCCCTAGGCAAACCAGGAAAAACTGTTTCCTAGCCATGTTTCCAAATGTAGGCAAACCAGGAAACACTGTTTCCTAGCCATGTTTCCCAAAGGTGGGTAAATCAGAAAACATTGTTTCCTAGCCATGTTTTCCAAAGGTGGGTAAATCAGAAAACATTGTTTCCTAGCCATGTTTCCCAAAGGTGGGTAAATCAGAAAACATTGTTTCCTAGCCGTGTTTCCCAAAGGTGGGTAAATCAGGAAACATTGTTTCCTAGCCATGTTTTCCAAAGGTGAGCAAATCAGGAAACAATCTTGATGGTTAGCATTCTTTTTCTATAGTAAGTGTAGTCAACTCTCGGCGTTCGAGACGATCTTCAAGAAATACATTTCAACAATGGAGGAGAAGAAAAAGGAGCCGTGTTGTCCTTTGTGCCACAGACAGTTTAATACTTTGAAAGAAATGCAAAACCTTGTCGATGAGGTATTTATTCTGGATAGCTCTATCAGTTCCAAACTGTTCTCCCTAGTCCTAGAGGTCCAGAATTGCAAAATAGTCTCCAAAGAAGTCCAGAATTGAAACCTAAACTAAACTAACTTTATTTATACTGGATAGTTCTATCAGTTCTAAACTGTTCTTACTAGAGGTCCAGTAAGGATCATCTCTTATTGATCCAATGTTACTACAGGAGGAAACCTAAACTAAACTAACTTTATTTATACTGGATAGCTCTATCAGTTCTAAACTGTTCTTCGTAGAGGTCCAGTAAGGATCATCTCTTATTGATCCAGTGTTACTACAGGAGGAAACCTATTTTTACCTAAACTACTGTACATGTAATTGATGTAAATGAACTTTATTTATACTAAATTTATTTATACTGGACAGCGTTGGGCAGGTAAAGTAAAAATGCTGTTGTATTATTTTACTTAGTTAAAAGATAAAATCAGACGAGTGCCCGAAAAGATGACCGCGCAAAAGAGTGGCCTGGAGCGAGACGAGAAAAATTACGAACAATTGCAGAAATTACGCTCCGTTAAGGATAATGTGAGTGAGATATAAAAATGATATTTCAGTAGAGCTGAGGCTCTTTGCGGTCGGCTGTAAGCTAGAACTCAAGCCAATAGACAATTCTCATTATAGACTAATTTTAAAACTAGGCAAGGAGATGCAAATATATCACCACAGCTAGAAAGAGCATACTAAAAGTTCAAAGTATACAAATTTTGCAAGGCTATATTTTCCGCATTTTACAACATTTCGCAACTAAACTTTGCAATTTTACTAATTTTAGTATGCTCTTTCCGGGAATATACTTTTTTTTCCAAGATAAAAATATAGTCCATAATGGGATTGTGAGCTGTCATCAAGATATTTTGTAAGATGTCAGACTGTCCGTTCCAAATTGCTGGTTATGAAATGTGTCAATTGTCCTTTTAGCTTGGAGAAATCGAGAAAACAAAGTTACCCTCGGCAAAAGACAAGCTGTCAAAAGTTTCTCAGGAATGCGAGGAGCTTCAAAATAAAATTGAAGAGGTAAGGAATGCTTGCGTGAAATAAAGGAGGGGAGGGGGTACTACATTTGTTCCTCTAAGGGTGGGGCTAGTGAGGGGGGGGGGGGTTATTTGACAGTAATAGTGCATGATATTGTAGGGATGAATCAGGATTAAGGTTGGTATGAGGGGTAGATTTGATATTAAAGATATAAAATTAATATGGAAATTGACCATATATTTCAGTTGGAAGATGTTCGCTTGGTAATCGAGAGTGAGGAGAGCAGAGCTGGCAAGATTGAACCTGATCTCGTTATGTTAGAAGAAAATCAAAGATCTTTGAAATCGCTGGATAAAGAAATCACTTTGCTTCAGGCGAAAATGGAAGGAGTTGGTAAGAGTTCTGGGAGTGAATGAAATGAGAAATGAAGGAATTTACAAGTAGGGGTTTGCTTCAGAGTCTAGGCTCTGGGATAAGAAATAATATGTGAGGACCTTGTTTGGATCGCCCCTGATGAAGACGCAAGATCGAAACATATACATATACATTCAGCTTTTCACAACAATTATAATATTGCTTTCCTTTTATAACTAAACATGTCTGATTTTACACCTGGTTGCAGCGAACGAATATACGCTAAAATATAAACTCCTTTTCTTAACATTTTAGCTCCGGGACGCAGCATGCAACTTGTGACGAATGAAATCTCAGATTGTCAGGATAAAGTGTAAGTTAGGATGCGGTCGAACGAGGATGACAAGCGAGAGTTTGCATGAGACTTGTTGAGAGTTGAGAAGCGAGAGTTCGCATGAGAGTTGAGAGTTTGCATGAGAGTTGAGAAGCGAGAGTTTGCATGAAATTTGATGAGAGTTGAGTACTTGAGAAGCGAGAGTTCGCATGAGAGTTTTTGAGAGTTTGAGAAGCGAGAGTTCGCATGAGAGTTGATGAGAGTTGAGAAGCGAGAGTTCGCATGAGAGTTGATGAGAGTTGAGAAGCGAGAGTTCGCATGAGAGTTGAGAGTTTGCATGAGAGTTGAGAGTTTTCATGAGAGTTGAGAAGCGAGAGTTTGCATGAAAGTTGATGAGAGTTGAGAAACGAGAGTTTGCATGACAGTTGAGAGGCGAAAGTTTGTATGAGATTTTTCTCAACTCTCATACCCCAGTCAAACGAGAACAAGACTTGCATGAGAGTTGGCTGGATATATTAAAGGGTCAAATGAGGAAAAGTTCTCATCAAAGTTTGAACCAGCTGAAAGTTGATGAGAGTCGGTGGTCAATTAACGCGAGCGAGAATTGCAGTTCTTATCAACTCTCGTTTGATCACACGGCTTAAATCTTATACCTGTTTTGTGCCATGTCTTTCGCCGCTTCGGTCTGTCATCTCAACAGAAGACTTCAGCAGTTAACTCCTTTCAACTAAACAATGCAAAGACCTCTGCTTCACTTTTTTGAACACTTGAATTCGGCGATTTAAAAGCTGTCTCGCCCAACGCAAGACAACCACCTCGTGCGAATATTCCAATACTGAATATTTTAAATCCCAAGAGACATTTTGTGGCAAACAAACATCAACAACATGATTGGGTTAATTAAGTGTTCGAAACCTAAAATATTTTTGGCGTTTGTCTCAAAATTACTTTGTTTTACTCTAGCTTGATTTTGTAGTTTACATAGTTACTTAATAGCTATCTTTCTAAATGTATCTGGTGGTTGAGAAACACAAAATAATAGTTAAATATTGTCAATTTACATACAATTATCATTGTCATTGATGTTTATACTGTATACACAATATAATAAATACAATTATCATACTGCACTTCAGACATCGTTTTCTCTTTGGCATGCCATCTAAAATCTCTTCATTTCAGTATAATTATACAGATAAAGTACTAAACATACTTTTTAGGTTTGTTTGCCTAATAATTATAATCAAGTGGAAAGTATATTTCACTACAGTTCTGAGCGCGTCTTACGTATCTATTCTTAAAATAAATCAAAATATACTGAGTTCAGCGAACCATTGGCAGGGCCCAAAATAACGGGAGATAGGTCTCCGGTCAAAATGACCAGTCAACTTGATTTTAGCTCGGTCAAAAATCTGTTTTTAACCGGTCATTGATACGCTTGTACATAACAGTGAGACAAACTATTAAAAACTTGTTTCGATACATCATAGTTTCATGTTTTAATTCAAGACGTCAGCAATCACATTGGAAGGCATGGAAATGTAGCCGGTCAAAATGACCGGTGAGGTAAAAAAGTGACCGGTCAAGAGGCATTTTTGGCCAGTACGTTGTCCGTTGACTGGCCGTTATTTTGAGCCCTGATTGGCATTGCAGTGTAAATCTCGCCTATACGGCTATGGTTTACACTAAGAAGGGTGAGCTGTATTAAAGGCAGTTGATGCGTCTTGCCGGATTATCTGTTTTTCATTTTAAATCTCTTTGTTAATGTTCTTCGCTCTTCGTTATAGGGACGGGCTGAATCGCGTCATTGAGCGGAAGAGAAACCAAATTTCGCAACAGGAAAGTCGACTTGCTACCTTAACAAGCAATGTCCATGAATTGAATTCTGAAAAGGTTTGTTTCATGTTAAGAGGGTCCTGAAGGGGGGGGGGGGGTCGTATTCCCATTTCCCAGCCCAAATTTTGACTAAATCCCATTGTCCCAGAGCACAAATCCCATCATTTCAGTGGCTGTCCTACTCAAATCCCATTCCCATTTTCTATCGTTTTGCTGATGAATCCCAGTCCCAGTGCATGAAATCCCATTTTCCCACCCAAAAATAAGCAAATCCCAGTTCCCATTTTACCCCTCCAGGACCCTCTGTTAACCTGTCGAGGTTCGAGTCTGCATGTAGTACTTGGAAAAATAAAAACATTTCATTGTTCAGACACAAACCACGGCAGCTTATTGTAGAATACTACCTACACTGAACCACCGCGTTTGAGATATCTTTTTCAGGTAGTTCAGACTCAAACCACGGCAATTTATTGTAGAATACTACCTACATTGGTTCCCTAAACTTGTTTTACACATATTATTTTTGTGTAGTTACGTTTAAGTGGCGAGCTACAACGGAGATCTCATCTTGAGGAGCAGAAAGCTGAACTGACCGCCGTAAATATGGAACATGAAAGGGAAGTAAAGGTACTTTGAAATTATGTCACAATTATTGATTTCGATACATTGCACGTATATACACACACAAAAACGCACAAGTTGTAACAAACATGCACCAGACATGTTTCAATGCTGTTTCAACAACTTGTTGACAACTTGCTACAAGATTGTTCATTCGGCAACTTGTTATCGTGACAACCTTGTAGCCCTTGATAACATGACAACATTGTTACAACTTATTGTCAAGCTTGCTACAAGCCTGTTGCGAACAATTGCGGACACATCTTGTTGACAAGTTGTGAGATTTTTACGTGTGTACTTCTCGGTACCTATTTCATTTCTTTCTCCTCCAGGAAGCGAAAAGGCAGTTGGAGCCAGTGAAGGTATGAAGATAATGGATGTTTCTATAAAACTCTGCTCGAACAAGAGTTAAAGAGAGTTGAGAAGCGAGAGTTTGCATTGACAGTTTTCTCTACTCTCATGCCCTCGACGAGATCAAACGCAACCCTCATCAACTACTGCATATATCAAGATTTCCATTCCGTGTGAACAGTGAACTTCCGTGTTTGTAAATTTCGTAATATATTTTAAAATTTGTTTTATTAGGGACGTTTAGTGGAACTCGAAAAAGAACACAAATCTCTGTTTAATGAACAGCAAGAACATGTCGAACAAACAAACTCTAAGGTAAACAGAAAACAAAAAAAAAATTGTAGTAAACATTGCGAAATTATACATTTTCATGCATACCATCCCATACCACTCCATACCATATACCATACCTACCATATCAATTACAGGCCTTAAAATATCGGTCGGTCACGGACATTGTCCGACCCATTCGTGAAATTGTCCGACGTAGAGAGGAAACCACCGGACATTCTGTCCGACCTAAGTGAAACTGAGGTCTATTGTTTGTCCGACCTGAGTGTATTGGTGTCAGACCGAACTGTAGCTTTGTCCAACGTAAATCAAAATGTACCCTAAGCCAGGACTAGAGGCTTGTCTATCCCAGGACTAGAGACGAAAATCAGAGTACTATTGTATAAAAGGTGAACTGGAAATGTTGTTTTAACGCAGTCGAAAACGGGCTTAAGTTATCGAAGTCTTTTTTAATACAGCTGCATGTTCTGGAAAGCGAGTTAATTTTGCCTTAGAAATAAGTATGACTTCACAACATTTACCGTTCAGAATTAATACATTGTGCTGATTAGACTTTCCAAAGTCCTTTCCAGACCCTTCTATGGCGCGCTTCGCTTCCTCTGTAGAAAGGACTTTTGTCACTTGCAGCGCGCCAAATATCACCGGTGGAAAAATCCACCGGTGACGTCATTGTTTACATTGCCGATTTGCCGAAGCGGTTTACATTATTATTATTGTATTACAATATTATATTCTCAGGCTTTCTTGTTGAACAAATGTGTACTATTGAAGCAAATAGAGTAAACAATGTAATTACAATTTTGTAGAACACAAAAACCATGTGAAAATACACAAACAAGCATTACATTGAGTAGGCTATATTTAAAAGTACAGGGTGTCGAAATAAACTTTATTAATACTGTCACGTACCGAAGATGCATCTAATGATTCTAAAATTTCCTCACTAGTTTCGGGTTTAGTTTGGGTTTCTTGATCTCGATTACTGATTATTAATACAAAATCATTTGTTGAGAAAACAACGCGTATTTTTACCGGATTTTGAACTCTGGCGACGTCTTCTCGTTGATCACAATCGCCGCCTCTCTGCTTCGCGGTTACAGCTAGTTGTCTGATTCTTTTCAATTAGATTAACTTCTACTACTAATATTAAATCGCTCGCGAACTGAATCAACTTTCTATAATAAGTCTAATAAATTACTATTCTTGTCGGCACAATTACGGCACACATTGTTAGACAAACAACTGTCCAGATTCAATAAGTTTTTACATGCACTCGTTTTTGTTGATACATTGAACAGCTTTCGGCGCTTACTTGGGTCAGTTATTTCGTTTCCACACTCGGTGCAAACTGTTTCATTCGAGGACAAAGAAATATCAATTCTTGGGAATGTTTTTGTAGACCAATTGACGGCGCGGTGAAGTAATTGTATGAAATGTACACACCCCTTTTATGTCAAAATTATTCGCGCCAAAATTTTTAATGTGATTTAAATTCCTGCAAGGGACACAAGTCGACCACTCGCGACTTCGTCGCTCGGGTCGCGTGTTCCCTCCCCCGCGCCCTCCCTCCCCCATGGTCGACTTGTGGCAAGTCTAGCGCAGATGCGACCTTTGGACATGCCTTGTACGTAATTAAAACTTTCGGTTTAAGTAACTGTAGTGTAGCCAGTGTTTAATATAACGTTTTAACAATAAAATATTTCATGTATTTACGTTCATTTGTTCTTTAATTTGTTGTTTCTTTGACTATTGATATATAATAAAACACTTATTTACTGAGACCTCGGGAAAGCAGTGTGTTTTGTGGACCCTCGACCGTCGATGTTTTTTTCTGCTTCGCCTCGGGAAACATCGACGGTCTCGGGTACACAAAACACACTGTTTCCCTCGGTCTTAGTAAATAAGTGATAATTATTGTCATTAGAAACATAAGAAAGTGTCTGACTTATGTATTAAAAGCAGTTTCTAAGGAGTACAATTTTCCATGAAATTATTTAATAAGTAATAGCCATTGGTATCATAGGGCAACAATGGGGTTTCTATATATGGCGGATATTTCGCTCGTAATTTAACGTTATGACATGCTGTTGTAATTACAATGTGGTACTATGAGAAAAAATTACTCGAACCTTAAATTTCAATACACGGAAGGAGATGAACAAAAAGTTATGCCAGAATTGCGGAGAAATCCTTGAACGAAAAAGAGATAAATTTAACTCTTGCCGTTATGAATAAAAAATTAATGCTGTTCGCAGCTGTTCTAATAAGTTATATAAAATTTCTAATAAGTGCATGTATATAAAATTTACATATTTTGTAATAAATTGTATATTTTATAAATTGTATATAATTTTTACCCTTCAACTGTTATTCAATCTAATGAAATGCCAACAAAATTCTGATATGTACCCAAATTTAATTCGTACCGTTACATGTAAAAAAATAAGCAGTATAGTACTGCAGAAATCTTCTACTTTTAAAAACAATATTGCACTCTCTTTTCTCGGAATGGGCAAGGCTTGCACGGCGTGTTCGTGTTCCAAGATAACGCAAAACTCGGCCCTCAGTTTTTAATAGTAAAATATAGACCTCTCATGTGCATGGTTTGAAAATTTTTGAACAAACAATTTTGCACGATTGCAGAGCTGCTAGAAGTTTCAAAAATATCCCTTATACTGTACCTTTCTTTATTTTTGTTCCTCTCTTCAGAAGACAAAATCTATACGTGGATTTAATTGAAGAAGGCAAAGACAGAATATCGTTTACTGCACTTTTCGTTTACAACGTCATTTCGTCTGTCGAAATGCTTCAACGTTTAAACGACGGAACGTTTTATCACTGTGTTGTTACCCCACTGGGTCTATATATGTTGTTGTTATTTGTTAATGCTGCTAGGCAACAGGAAATAACTAATGTACTATTTAATAAACGAGCAAGGAGTGTTTTATTAGGTTTAAAGCACGAGCGCGCAGCACGAGTGGCTTTAAGCCGGTTTTCCACTAGGCGGAATTTTGGGCGCGGAGCGGAATTTTTCTTTGTCTTGTGATTTCTCGGGTGGAACTAACTAGAAAAGACAAAGAAAAATTCCGTTCCGCGCGCAAAACTCCGCCTAGTGGAAAACAGGCTTTAGACCTAATAAAACACGACCTGTGAGTTTATTGGACGACTGCAAATTCAATAGATATACTGCCTTATTAGGATTCTTTATATAAAAAATACTAACCAGGACACGACTACAATAGATACTGGCTTATTAGTATTCTTTATTATAAAGAATACTAATTAGGAGTGTTTTATAGTGTAAACACCTCACGGATCCGTATATAGTTGAAAAACAAGGAATCCGGATACTTTTACAAATCTGGGAACTTTTGCTCTAGTATAAACGTAGTCCAAATATCACCTTTAATTAATTACAAAATTATCAATTTCCCAAACATACAGGTGTCCCAAAAAACCCGAAAAATATTTAAATAATTAACGTATTGTTATGCCTCAGCACCATGCTGAACCCAGACGTGCATCAAAGCTTGACGTATATGTAAATTTTAATATTTTGTGCATAAAGAAACCGTTTAATTAAGGGCTTGTTCGTATGATCCCGCTTACCGGGACGTCTCGCTTACCGAGACGAATATTTCCGTGCGTTCATATGGAATATTTCGTCCCGCTTGCCGAGATGAAATTACATTGTAGTCCTATAATTAGCGTATGCAAAACTTCTACATTTCAGTCAAGCAACACAAATACTTAGCGATTTTAGTCTTTTTCTTCGTTTGATATTTACAAGAACAAGACGCCTGCTCAGGCGTTCACACTGACCTGAAAATGATGACATGCGCGCTATGGTGCAATCTCGTTCCCTGAGCCTGCGGTCCTTGGGAAGGAAACGAAGGCTCTGGGATAATCCGTTTCAGGGAGGAATCTGATTGGCCGTTGATATGGAATGTGCAGTTCAATCTTGGCCAGAATTCCAGAATGAATACAAAAAGAAAAACATTAATTCAACACGCAAGAAAGTCCAGAGTGCGACAAAAAATGAACACAACTACACCACGGATGTTTATGACTCTACAACGTATATTTATAGACAGTTGTTTATTAGTTAAAAAGTCAAACTGTCGAACCTTTAACTTGTCCTTTGTAAAATTCGCAGCTGGGTCCAAATTTTGGGGTTTTCGAGTCGTTTACACGAAGAAAAACATATAAATTCAACACGCAAGAAAGTTCAGAGTGCGACACAATCCATAAAATCCATAGGAAACCGGCACAACTCTTGGAAAATTCAACGAAACTGTGTGAAATATATTCTGATCACTCAGCCAAAAGGCGCCATTTTGAAACTGGACTGAATATGTCACCATTGGAGTTCGGAATTGTGCGCGTGCGTATAAGTCCATATAAGTCTATATATGGGCTAATAAACGAAAAATACACCACAAGCATGGCATGAGCCGGTTATTACGTACATAAATACAAGCTTCTTACTATTATACATGAATCGTGGAGTCGAAGAATCAATGGCATTGTGGATTAATCGTTGCACCCTGAGCCTGCGATGCGCGAACGCAAACTCGATTTCTCGACGACCAAAAAAACAGAAGAAAACAGAAAACTAGGGATTTAAGACACTTGACCTTTCAGGTCAGTGTAAAAAGTATTGCTCAGGTGCATATTTAGTACTTGTTTAAAAGCAAGTAAAAGGTGTTAAATTAAACCGGCAAGACTTGTTTGACTTCATCCCGGTAAGCGGGCTGGCGTGTTCATATGGAAAAATTTTCATCCCGCCTACCTGTGATCTCGGCAAATTCAAACGAGATCTCAGCAAGCGGGCCAGCTCGCTTTCTCATATGAACACAATGCACAATGTTATAGGAAAATAGATAGGCAGCGAGATCATCGGTAAGCGAGACGTCCCGTAAGGGTGTGGTCATTATTTACGGGGAGGGAGGTTGGGAAATGGGAGGGGGGGCAAACGAAGTTTTACACAGAGAAAGAGGGGGTCTTTAAAAGTTTTTGAACTTAAATACCATGTCTAGAGTTCTGATTTCTATAATCACAAATAGCAAAAAAGAAGACTCTGAAAATGCTATTTCCAACGATCTAGAGACTCAAAATTTTCAAAATTTCCCTGCTCGGCGCCAACCATGGTAGCGCCTCCCGATCGTGGGAGCCGGGCCCACTAAGTAACAAGCTTTCTACCCCCTGAGTGACCCAGTTGTGGTATTTACATAAACATGCCATGCAAGTACACTTAACTGATCAGATTCGGTCTATCAACGCACAATGTAACGCTGTATATCCAAAAATCTGTTTCAGAAAATGCTCACATTTCAGTTCTAGGGGTGGAAAAATACAAAATATGTTCTGGGGGAGAATACCCCCAGACCCCCCTACTAGTACATACGATACTACACCAAACTTTTTGTTACCAACAACCATCTGTCATCTCTACATACTCAATATAGTATGGTCCCTTTTTGTAGATGCCCACCCTGACCCCTCAGACAAGTTCTTAAAAAACCATCTGTTCAAATCATTTTGCTGTATGAAGACGGGTCATGGGTTAGGGTTATGGTAGGACAAATGTTGCATTGCAAAGTAGTAACACATAATATATATTTTTTAATCATATATGGTTGAATCATATTCACCAGGGTAAAACATCATGAGCTAGATTTAAACAGATTGTCCTAATATCTAACTTTACCTGCAATGCATGCCTGTTTCATTGCTGTTAATTTTTCAATCCATACTGGGGGGGGTCAGAAAAATTTCTACTTTTATGAGGAGGGAGGCACAAAAAGTTTGCTTTTAGTCTGGAGGGGGGTTAAAAAAGTTTTTAATCCTAATTTTGCCCATTTACCAACCCCCCTCCCCATAAATAATGACCACTCCCTTAATTTGTTTACATATGATACATATGATAATACAATAAAAACTTGTTTCGTTGTTTTAAAACAAGTGGAGCTCTCTTCTGGTTTGAAATTGGCTGTTATGACACTGATTTGTCCTTGCTGAGGATTCTGCAGCTCGATTTGCCACAAAAACCCCAGGATAAGGCGGTCAGCTCGTCTTGAAATACGTACACGATCCAGTCGTGTCGGCCAAAGACAACAAAACATTGAAAATCGCACAGATATAAATTCTACAAAAATATTAAAACAACTCCCAAGTCTTCTAAATAAAATTTTGCACTTTAACAAAAATTCATTGAAAATACCATCTTTGATGGCGCAAATTCTTTCCAAATATATTTCAAATTCTTTGCAAATTTTTCAATTTCTTTTCTTCATTTTTTTTTCTTTTGGTATTAGACGCCATTTTAGCGAACGTCGAGTTGACAGTGGTCACTTCAACGGTCAATATCTCGAAAACTGCCGGGGATCACCGGGATCATCCAGCAGATTTAAATTTTATACTTTTGTCTTGACTACTACCATCGAAAATCGAACATCAAACCATGGGAATTCTAGATATTTCATTTTAAACATTGTAAACATATTTAGACTTGAGTCAAAACGTCGCGGGGATTCGACTAACTTCAAACATCAAAATAGCATTGAAAATAAAGTTTACCTCAAAGATTTTTGCAGATATCACCAGATCGTTAGTTTTAGAAAAGTAGACATTTTTCTGTCCAAATTCTGCAGATAACACGATGGAAAATAGAGCGATCTCATCGGTCGAGAGCTCACCTTACAACTCGCTAATTGCCTGTCCAACCTCCTCTGGAAGCATTCTCCAATTCCATATTCCAATAGTTTCAAATAAAGACCTTCGTGCCAGACGGAATCAAAGGCCTTTTTAAAATCAATAAAGCATGCGTAAATTTTCTCATTATTTTGATTAACGCATTTATCATGCAACGTTTTTAAGGTAAGAATATCATCGGCCGTTCTGATATTTGGTAGGAAACCAATTTGAGAAGGGTGTAACAATTTTGTAGTTTTTGAAAAGTTCATCAGTCTTTCATTGAGGACAGAGCAGAATAACTTTCCTAACGAGCTTGTCACGCATATTCCTCAGTAATTACTTGGGTCTGTCAAGTTCTTTAGTGTTTTCCAGAAAAGGTCAAAATCATTTTGACTATTTTTTGTTTCTATTCATCTTTTTGTTGTAAAATTCATTTTGCTTCAGCTACTTATATGATTTCAAGGCATCATGATAGTTTTTTCTAAGTTCAACATTTGTAGGATCTCTATGTTTTAAATTAGATAATTTCCTTAAATCATGTCGTTTGATTCTACAGTCTTTATCAAACCATTTCTTTTGAGCAACGATAGTGATTTTTCTTCTTCGTTTGCTCTTTTTAATTTTCAAACTTTTTTTCGATGTTTCAAGTAAGATGTTTTGTAATTCGGTTACACATTGATTTGTTCCGTTCAAATCAGACGTGAAATCCGAGTTCATAAATTCATTCAATTTCTTTTGCATTTCTTGTGATCTTAATGCAACCTCGTCCCCAGGGCCTATTGAGGAAGGAGGCGAAGCAGCAAAGGCCCTGGTAAAGGCTGGTCACGTGATGCTTCAAATTTTGAATATTTCAGAATATTTAACTTTTCAAACCGGGGGTGCAGGCCGCTTTGATTTTATCAAACATGGCCGTGCAAAGGGGCGATAGAAGCTTTTGCGACTGAAACTATGATGATAAACTTAATTTCAACTGACAGTGGAAATAAATATATAGTCTGCGATATTCTTTAAAAAAATATGGAATATAATCAACAGCAATACTTGTCGAAGATCAAGATTCAAAGAGAAGAGTCTAAACACTGACTGACAACAGTAAATATTTCTTTTCAGCTTGGAAGCGCGTTTTATAATATTTGTCGTTTGGGAGTCAATAACATACTGTCAGTGAAGAATTTGATTTGGGACTTTGATGTACCTTTATGAAAAGATTACTACTGAATACAACTGTGCATGTAAAATGTGATTAGAACGTTTTAATATGAACAGTTGCACTGTCATTGACTCAATATATTTTAATGTGGGACAAACATTAAAAACATTAAAGTACTGTGCCAAGTGACAAAATTCCATGCCGACCATGGGTTACGTATGTATGCATTTTTATTAAACGTTTATACCAATATACATTATTTTAAACCTTTGTTGTGTGTGAATTTTGTGTGTTGATTTTATGATATTTGACAACCATGAATATTAATAATATAATATGTTAACAGCAAGTTTACAGTATATTGTATAATACAAAAGCAATATCACAAGACTCAAGTACTGTACATGGTCTAATAGATGTTTCTTAGTCAGCAAATATGCTCTTTGACATTGTGGCAATCAGGTATTCTTGGGGCTTTTAGCTTGGTTTTTCACTTTTTTGATACAACTATAGAATACCCACAACTTTCACACCTTACCGCTATTAATTCCTTGTAAACATTGTCAATTTACTCAAAATTGATCTAATATGATTGCCTCATTCTTCAAAACCCCCAAGTCAAATTTGAACCAAACTAACATACTCATATGATTTAATCTCTAAACTTTACCCTTAAACTATTTTGAAGTGATTCTTGTACTTATTTATGTGTCAATGAATGCGGAAAAATGGCGAGGTATTCTATAAGCATTCCGGCATGTGTGTTTTTGAACCTTCACTGTTTGAGAGAGCATGCCATGGGTCTCCCCAAATTATCTGAGCACTTCAACCAGACCAACAGCTGCCAAATGGCAACTACTATGCTCAGAGGTGTAACTTACACTTGCTCGGGGCAAGTGAATATCATGACGGGCAAGTAAAAGATTCCTCTTGGTTGCCCGAACAGGCAAGTTGCTTTGCCACAAAAAGCTGGCCAGCTTTCAGTTTATATTATTATTGTCGGATAGAATAAAGGCTGTTCGACGACATTGGTTCAAGCTGGCAAATTATCTGCATCAAATTCATCTAAATTGTTTGATTATATTATGCATTGATTCTCTTTTTGGTTATTAAATGTTTATTCATGATATGATAACGATGGCAGGACTTAATTTGGGACTTTATTAGTCCTGCTGTCTGTGCCTTCAATTTCTTATTGTAAAACTAATAAAAAAAAAAAAAATAAAAAATAATGGTGATTAGTGTTACATTAAATTAAATAAGTGTACTTGATTCAAATTTTGTTTAATATGTGAGCCAAAGCTAGATCTGAGGTAGTCTAGATCTGAGGCAGTAACATAGCCAATGCCACTAGTCCAATGAGTGGATATGTTGTCTCCCTAATTTATACTGGCCCGCGTAGGTACCCCATTGCCTGATGGCAACTGGATTTTATTCAGGGCAACCAAATTTCATGTCCAACTTGCCCTGAGGGCAAGTGGTCAAAAAAGTTAAGTTACACCACTGATGCTGTATACAAATTATATACCTGAAAGGTAACTTACATCATATTGTGTCATTTAAATACTAATACTTGTATTCTCACAGTGTATTAAGATATACAAATGCACTTGTGATGCCCAAAGAATTGCCACAAAAAAACCCACAAATCAGTCAATTTCAGTAAGTAGGGCACACTGGGGCACATTGCAGCTCAATGGGTTAACTAGAGACATTGTCAGATTTTGGTTAATTAATAACCATAATTGCAAGAGGTCAGTACAGTCTGTAACAATAAGTAATTCAGGAATTCACACAATTCTCAATAGTTAAATGATTATCGGATTTCATGTTAAATGATTATCGGATAATGTTGAGCATCAAGAATATATGTATAATATCCTTCATACATTTATAATAATATTCAGGCTAAATATCATAGTTATTATTTTATGTACTATAGTTGTATCAGGTATAAAGATACGAGGTGAAGCCAAGTATCTTTAGATCTGATAAAGCATACACTGCGAATGTTTTAAATTGCTCAACTGATGGTCACCAACAACAAATAGTACTTTATTACAAGGCGGCAAAATGTATTTAAATTAAAAGAGATGAATAATCTTGTCACTTGATACATTTGACACCAGGTGTCTTGTATTTGTCCATAAGAGACCCCTTGTTATTGTATCATGTTTTCAGAATGAGTTCAATTTTGATATTTGTTGTTGATCTGAGCAAAATATTGATTATTGATTTGCCTACTGAGGCACACAGTATTGAACAGTCAATTGTGGTGAGTGATGCTGAACTGCCTGTTGTATGTTGTGAGTGATTTTGAGCGCCTGTTGTGATGAGTGACACTGAATTGCCCCAATTGTGGCTCAGGAAAAATGTACCTGCTGACTTGTCAAATAATCTCCTTAAATAATGTTCTGGGAAGTAATTTGTGTAATTGATTACAAACAAAAACAAGGGCTTGTTAACAGTATAATGAGGAAATTAATTCCCTCTCATTATATTATTCAGCCTTGATAAAGCATATGGAGGCTTTCTGTCTGATTTGACCCTCATGCATGTAATCGTTTGGGAATGCCTGATCATTAAGATCACAACATTTGTTGTGAAGCTTGGCCTTTGAAATCTAAACCCAAACCACTATATGTGTGTTCACAATGTTCTTGGGATAACAATGAAAATCAAATAAAATATTTCAACTCAATTAAATTCAGGAAATGTTAATTAACCATGGCGGTCAACCAGGTTATACTCAGGGCATATGGCTAACATAAGCATTTAAATTCCAAGTGCATACGATGTTGACATTCCTTGTTTTTCAGACATTCTTTGGGCCTTGTACTCCCTTTAACTGTTTATAAATATACTGTATGATATTGACATTTGCAAGGAAGATCTATTGTAGCAACAATAACTATTAAATGTTTTGATGATCATGGTTATGGTGTATTGAGAGTCCATATTATTAAATTAAAGTGATTTTACATATCTGTTTCACAATCGAGGCAGCAATTTCCTTGCGACAGTAATTCATAGTATAAATACTTCTATCGATCCATTCGTTTGCACTGTTGCTTTGTCTATTTAATAGATCTCCTTTACAGTTCAACCAAGGTTTTCAGAGCTAATTTGAAGACAATTTCAGATTTATTCAATATTTTTGGAAGAACTTTAACAGATTTTTTCATTTTAAAATAGATTTTTGTTCTTTATTTGTCGATTTCGGTGTTTATATGCAATATTGACGAATATATTGTAGCTAAAGCGATCCGCGAGACCGCGATCGCACCCCCCTGTATAGTATTTGCTCCGATATATCACGTGACAAAATAATCCACAATTTGTGGATTATTTCACCAGCCTTTACCAGGGCCTTTGCTGCCCTTCGCCTCCTTCCTGAAAAGGCCCTGGGGACGAGGTTGTAGTACCTGTAGCTATACGAAACAAGAACTAGAACCATTATCTGTGTTGATGGAACCTGTCGCGAGTGCTATATTGTCTCAATTATAGTAAATGGCTCAGTATCAAAAATCGGGTGTCCATTATAGCGTATTGGTAATTTCCTCTATATTAATGCCTGTGAAACACGACACTGAGATCTAAAATGCTCAGTGCATGCTGAGTTAAATTATTGTTACTAATATTTTCCATAATTAATATATTAGTTAGCTCCGGAATATTAGGGAAAGATGCAGTCACAACGGATTTAATAGCGATAGGCCTATATCTGTTAAAGTAAAAGGTCAAGATGTAAAGGTATATAAACCAACTATAAACATTTTGAACAGCAAATAAAAACACACCACTGTGAATTACGCATGAGATTCAACATGACATTCAACATGATATTCGATATTGTGTGAACTCACTCATTTCAATCACTCAGAAGTAAAAATGAAAAAATAGCCATTTCTTCTCTTCCAAATGAATTAGAAAGAAATAAATCATATAGTTCGTATTAACTAATTAATACATTTATGTTTTATTGCATAAAAAACGCGCATCAAAGCAGTCCAAAAAGACATTTTAACAACAATAACCACAGGTGCCAAATACAGCCTGTACTAAAAAAAACTGTCAAGAATTGTTTTTAAATAATTAAATTCCAACCCCGCTATTCTATAGGACTTTCTTAAAATTTCATATAGTGTATGCAAGTATATGCTCTTCCAACTCGTTACTTAAAGTAAGCGGTGCAAGCCTATAAACTAGCGAGAATCCGTCTCAAAATTTGACTATTTTGCCCGTCTCATCCTAATTAATTCTGATATACACAAAGTCAATGATATATGTGCGCTGTCAAAAATTGCGCCTTTAAACCATCCATAACTTCCACTCTATTGTATACAATTTTTTTGAGCTTTCACATCTTGTACAAAATTATATGCTATTTTACATGGTTACTTACAAGTATGTGGTGCAAGCCTTAAAATGAACGAAAATCCCACTCAAATTGGACTGCATTACGTGCATCTGATATACCATAGTTAATAATTATACAGTATATGAGTTGCGAGGACCTTCCTGCATTTAATTTGTAGATTTTGCGCCCCCTATTCTATACGATTTTCTTAAACATTCATATATAGTATAA